GTGTGAGGAGTGCAGCCGGCCTGCAACAGTGGGCAAGCTGGTTGACGGGCCTGGTCAACCTGCACAAGGGCCACTGCAAGGGCGCCGACTTAGGGGGGGCGCCATCTTCGGCTGGTCGACTTGGGAGGTCGACCAGTGGAGGGCGTCGACTTGGGTGACGCCGACCAGGGTAAGCCGACTGGATGTGGTCGGTTGACAGGTGTACTGGTCGACCTGGAGTTGGTCGACCAGGTGGGCTGTCGACCTGGAGTTGGTCGACCAAGGGAGTGGTCGATCTGGTGAGGTCGACATGTGGTGGTCGTCGACCTGGGCGGTCGACGGGCCTGGGATGACACACTTGGTCGACATGGTTGCCTGGTTGACCAGGTTACCCGGACGACGAGGTCTACGAGATTCGTGACTGTCGCCCGGGTAGATTGGCAATGTCGACGTGCGGTTCGGTGGCACGTGGTCAACTGGACTCCTTATGTGCAACCGTCGACATGTGGTTGACTTGGCACCTGCGCAATGTGCGTGGCGGCGCATGTCGTTACCGTCGCCTTACACCTGCAAAGTAGGTGCGCGCACATGAGCATGTGTGGTGACCTGTGGTGGCCTGTTGTTGGTGTGCTGGCATGCCAGCCTTGCAGGTCGACTAAGGACGCCTGAGGTCGACCAGCTGGCAAGTCGCCTTTGTGCTGAGCTGGTGGTCGACTTGTATGCTAGGCTTCTGATGTATTTTACCTTGCCAATCTAGTTGTTACCATTGTTCTCAACTTTTGCTAGTGAAACTCTTGTGGTTTTGCCCTGTGAACGCACAAGTGCTAGAGAATGACTAAGTGAACAAACGCAGAGATCCCTCCTACCCCGTCCCTAGCCCGTAGTCTAGCTCCCGTTGATAGAGTTATATCCGCATGGTGCGGTGAGCGTGGACGGCACACGACTTACCCCTTCAGTCAGGTGGACGTAGTGGTCACTTACCTAATTCGTGTTTGTAGACCGGCAGCTGTGCGGTAGTCACTATGGTAGGTGCCGTAGGTGACACAGGAGTGGTGGACACCCTGGAGGCACGGCTGGAGGACGCGAGGAGACACCATGAGGCCAACGATTACGGGCCAAACCTACCGTTGGCGGTCATCGAGGCAGGCATCTGCTCGGTGTGGGCGGAAGAGCACCCTGCTTGACCAGCTTCTCCTCGACCGGTGAACAACGAGGGCGGCATTGACGTGGGAGTCAATGCCAGTGGTGACCAAGTCGGCAGCAGTGCGGGAGGCACGATAAGGCAGCGAGGTGTGATACACGCCAATGAGGTCGGCGGTGTTCAGGCACAAGGGATGCGGTCGTTGGCGGTTGCAGGCTCCTCACAAGGCGACGCCGGAGGTCGACGAAGCAGTTTCTCGCCAATGTCGGCGACCCACGTGACAGCGGGCGGGATTGCACCGAGCTACGGCTACTTCAAGTTTACGCCAGACAGGATCTCGGTCACCCCCCTGCTTGTTGGTCGACCTAATATCCTCACGTGGAAGGAAGCCATCGAGCCCCAGCTGGAGATGGCCGGGCTGATCGGCTTCGCCAGGGGCACTGTGGCGACGCTGGAGGAACACTACCCCGACTTGCGTGCGGAGTTTTGCGCCGTGCAGTTGCTGACCTTCACGGTCATCTCGCGGTGCTGCTCGCCGGGCGTACAGATCGCCTTGAAGTCGTGCAGGGAGTACCTCGACGCTGGCCACCGGGCATGGCACTTCATCGAGTCATCGTACCAGGTCACCGACGCCCTGTACATCAGCCAGCTTGAGGAGCAACTGTCGCACATACGGATGGGAGAAGAGGAGACGGCGACCGACTACTGCAACCGGGCTCGGCGAATTCTCGCCACCATGAGGATGGCTGGCGTGCACTACTTGACGGCGTCGTACCTCACGCATGTTATCAAAGGGCTCACGGGCAGCTACAACCTGCTGAAACGACTGTTGTTGGCGCTGAGTACTAGGGCGACACTCAACGAGGATTCCCTTACCTCGTACATCCTGCAGGATGAGGCGATGCACGAAGCTGAGCGGCCCTCGGAGCTCCTTGCACAGGTGAACTACATCGCCCCGATGAAGTAAAGTGGTCGACCGAGGCAGCGCGTGCAGTCTGGCGGCAGTGGTAGCAGTGGCTGGAAGCCGACCAAGGACGGCGACAAGAAGAAGTCAGCCAAGGATAGCGGTCGTGGAGGAGGAAGTCGACCTCTGGAGTGCTGGCTTTGCGGTGACCCCAACCACCTCTCCTTCGAGTGCCCCGACCCCAGTGACTCCGACGACGACGACGCCAAGGGAGGCCGCGGCAGGTCTGGCAGCCGTCGTCCTCGTGGAGGCAGAAACCAGCTGCGCAAGGAGAAGCAGTCGACCAAGTCGTCGACCTCGGCGAAGGACGCTGACTCCTCTGCTGGCGACAAAGAGCGAGGCGACAAGGAGGCGTCGTGCTCGCTGGTCTGCGTCGTGGAGCCGACCGTCTCGCTGGCGTCGGAGGCCGGCGAGGACTTCCAAGCGATGGCAGCAGCCGTACAGGCAAACCCGGTGTTATTCCTGCTCGATAGTGGTTGCTCCCACCACTTGATGGGGACGAAGGGGGTCTTCGTCGACCTACAGCCGAGCGCCGACGGCAAGCACGTGCACGGCTTCAATGGGGCGCTGCAGGACATCTAGGGCCGCGGCACTGTCGCTCTGCAAGGGGAGGCCGGGAGGCAGGTGCTCATCGCTGACGTGCTCTATGTCCCGGGCGTGCGAGCAAACCTGCTTTTGGCCGGTCAGTTGAAGGAGAACGGCATGAAGCTGTAGGAGGACGGCGACAGGATGTTGCTTGTCTCGGCGGCGGGAGACGTCCTCGGTCGGGCGTCCTACACTGGGCAAGTCCTCTGCACCGACCTGCGTCCCTGCTCGGCGAAGTCGACAACGCCTACGGCGGAGGTCATGGCCCTGCGGGCGATCGTCTCGGTGACGAAGTCGACGCCGGAGAGGCTGCATGCGAGGCTTGCACACGTCGGCATGAACACCATCCGGAGCTCGGCAAAGCACGAGTTCGCCACTGGGCTGGACCTCTAGTCGGCGTCTGGCGCCGACTTGCCGTGTGTCTCATGCGTCGGCAGGAAGCTGGCGCGGCACACCTTCCCCGACCAGGGCTCCGGCGCCAACGACGTGCTGGCCATCGTGCACGTCGACCTGTGCGGGCCATTCCGGGTGGCTGCCAAGGATGGCAGCCTGTACTTCTTGCTGCTGAAGGACCGCAAGACCCGCTACGTGTGGGTGAGGCCGGTCGCCAAGAAGTCAGATGCAATGGAGGAGTTCGTGCAATGGCTGGCAATGACTGAGCGGCAGACGAAGAAGTCGGTGTTGATGCTGCGCTCTGACCGGGGAGGGGAGTTCCTCGGGAAGCAGCTCACCGACTTCATGAATGGCAAGGGGATCGTCCACGACCTGATCTGCCCCTACACCCTGCATCAGAGCGGCATGGCGGAGCGCGAGATGAGGACGGCGGTGGAGTCGGTGCGAATGATGCTGCTGCACATGGGCGTGCAGCACCACTGGTGGCACCTCGCTCTACGGCAGGCCGTCTGGGTCTGCAACTGCCTGGAGCAGTCGACACTGCAGCCGGGGACGACGCCATACCAGCTGCTGACCGGGAAGAAGCCCGACTTGTCGCTGGCACGGGTATGGGGCTGCATGGCGCAGTTCTTGGTCCCCGAGCAGCAGCGTGGTGGAAAGCTGAAGCCGAAGGCCAGGTGGGGCCTTCACCTCGGCGTTTTGGAGGAGAGCAAGGGCTGGAAGCTCCTCGACATCGCTGACAACCGGGTAGTCACCACGTCGGACATGGTGTTCTAGGAGAACATGTCGCTCGAGGTGTGGAATTCGGAGCACGGGCCGGCGTCGGGCCAGACGCCAACCATCTCGCCGAGAGACACCTCAACAGTGACACTCCCTCTGCTCGCCGAGGTCGGTGAGCCTGCTGCTGAGGACGTCGAGGATGTCCCCTCTCCCTTCCCCTCCCATGCCCCCTGTGCCCCTCCCCTTGTGGCCGACCTGCGTGGGCTGACTCCGGTGTCGGCCTCCGGCGATGAGGGCAGAAGTGGGGCGTCGCCTGTGGCGCCGGCCAAGAGCATCGCCGGTGGTGATGAGCAGCAAGTCGACGTGGTAGTGAAGTTGACGTTGATAGGGGAGGAGCAGGCCGAGGAGGTGCAGCCGACTTTGGAGAAGCCGGCGAAGAAGGCACCAGCAGGGCAGCAGCCGACAGGGGAGCAGGCAGCGGTGAAGCCGACCACGAAGCATTCCGCAACCAGGCAGTCGGCAGAAGAGCCGACCACAGGGGAGAAGTCAGCAGGGAAGCCGGTTGAGGTGCAGCAGGACGATGAGGGCAGTGAAGCTGGTGACGATGGAGGGGACGCCGAGGAGTCCATCGACAATGACGTGGTGGAGGTCCAGCGTGGACCACGGCAGTCAGGCCGAATTCGGAGGCCGCCCGACTTCTACGTACCGGCTGCCTTCACCACGGCGTACAATGAGGTCGATGACGACCTGCAGTACGACGACGCCGAGGAGGACGAAGACTTTCCGGAGCTCGACCCCGACATGCACGCTGACCCCGAGCACCGTTGGGACATTTCGACGATGACGGTGAAGGAGGCGTTGGCGAGCTGGAAGGGCAAGGCAGTGAAGGCCGCCATGGTGGAGGAGATCCGCAGCCTCGTCGGCATGGGGACGTGGGAGCTGGTCAAACGCCCACCGGGAGTGAACATCATGAAGAACCGGTGGGTGCTGACGACGAAGTACCACATAGACGACACCGTCGAGCGCGAGAAGGCAAGGCTGGTCGTGAAGGGCTTCACGCACGTGTATGGCGCCGACTACGATGAGACGTATGCCCCAGTGAGCAGCTACGTCACGCTGAGGATCTTCCTCAGCATCGTCGCCGTCCTCGACCTCAACATGATGCAACTCGACATGAAGAACGCCTTCCTGCAGAGCAAGCTCGACCGGGTGCTGTACATGTACCAGCCGGACTACTTCAGCGACGGGACCGGCCGGGTGTGCAAGCTGCTGAAGAGCCTCTACGGCCTGAAGCAGATGCCGTTGTTGTGGTACAGAGCTCTCGACGGTGTGCTGATGGGCGCTGGCTGGAAGAAGAGCCAGGTCGACACAGTCTACTTCAAAGTCGGCGACGACAAGGTGACCTGCTGGGTCCTGCTCTATGTCGACGACCTGCTCGCCGCCAGCAGCACTGTAGCGATGCTGAAGGAGCTGAAGGAGCTGCTTCAGGCCGCCTTTGAGCTGCGGGAGATCTTGCCGGTGCAGAAGTACCTCGGGCTGGAGATCGTCCGCGACAGGTTGGTGAGGAAGCTATGGCTGCATCAGCAGGGCTACGCCGACAAGCTGTGTAGGCGGTTCCTTGACGAGGAGCAGAACGGGCGCACCCCGAAGACGTCGGTCTCGGTCGACGCCTATGCCACACTCACCTTCGATGATGAGGAGGCACAGGTGCGCCAGGAGGAGGAGTAACGGCAAAAGGTCGGCTCGCTGCAGTTCGCGGCAACGACGACGAGGCCGAACATCGCCTTTGCCTACAGCAAGCTGGGGAGCGGTCTCACTGTGAGGAGCGACCAGCACTGGCGCGAGGTCGACGGCTGCCTCGCTTACCTCGCAGACACCCGTGACACCGCCCTGGAGTTCGGTGGTGGAGCAGAGTCGCTGAAGCTGATCGGCTACGTGGACGCCGACGACGCCGGCGACAAGCAGAACCGGACGAGCACGGGCGGCTACGTGTTTGTCTTTGGAGGGGCTGCCATCTCTTGGTCGAGCCAGCGCATCAAGTGCGCAACGCTGTCGTCGACCGAGTCAGAGTACGTAGCGGCAACCGAAGCCGGCAAGGAGGGACGTCGCCTTTGCTTCCTCCTTGCAGAATTCCGGCAGCTGGACACCGGGACGCCGACTGTTCTTCGGGTGGACAACAAGTCGGCCATCACAGTCGCCGAGGTCATGGGGTTGATGGGCAACCTCAAGAACATGGATCAACGACAAGCCTGGCTGTAGCAAATGGTGAAGCGCGGGATTTTTTCACTGAGGTACATCCCGACCGCTTAGCAGCCAGCCGACTTCCTGACGAAGGCGCTGCACTACCCGGCCTTCAACCGGTGCTCCGTTGCAATCGGCCAGGTGCGCCTAGTCGACGTGGGTGACAACGACGTGCAGCAGTAGGTGCATGCCCTCTTGCATGGCTGGTGCGGTGACTGGCGTGCTATGTGTTGGGTGCACGCCGACGAGCTATTCTCCAAGTAGTGCTCCCGTCTGGGCTGGGGGGCCCAAGCGTGAACGCGGCAGGGGAGTGTCAACGGGAGTTGTTGTTGGCCCCGTCCTTGCTTGGGCGGAGCCGACCTCGGGGTCGGGTGTGAGGAGTGCAGCCGACCTGTAACAGTGGGCGAGCTGGTCGACGGGCCTGGTCGACCTGCACAAGGGCCACTGTAAGGGCGCCGACTTTGGGAGGGCGCCAACTTTGGCTAGTCGACTTTGGAGGTCGACCAGTGGAGGGCGTCGACTTGGGTGACGCCGACCAGGGTAAGCCGACTGGATGTGGTTGGCTGACAGGTGTACTGGTCGACCTGGAGTTGGTCGACCAGGTGGGCTGTCGACCTGGAGTTGGTCGACCAAGGGAGTGGTCGATCTGGTGAGGTCGACATGTGGTGGTCGTCGACCTGGGCGGTCGACGGGCCTGGGATGACACACTTGGTCGACATGGTTGCCTGGTTGACCAGGTTACCCAGACAACGAGGTCTGCGAGATTCGCGACTGTTGCCCAGGTAGATTGGCAATGTCGACCTGCGGTTCGGGGGCACGTGGTCAACAGGACTCCTCAGGTGCAACCGTCGACATGTGGTCGACTTGGCACCTGCGCAATGTGCGTGGCGGCGCATGTCGTTACCGTCACCTTGCACTTGCAAAGTAGGTGCGCGCACATGAGCACGTGTGGTGACCTGTGGTGGCCTGTTGTTGGTGTGCTGGCACGCCAGCCTTACAGGTCGACTGAGGACGCCTGAGGTCGACCAGCTGGCAAGTCGCCTTCGTGCTGAGTTGGTGGTCGAGTTGTATGCTAGGCTTCTAATGTAGTCTACCTTGCCAATCTAGTTTTTACCATTGTTCTCAACTTTTTCTAGTGAAACTCTTGTGGTTTTGCCTTGTGAACGCACAAGTGCTAGAGAACGACTAAGTGAACGAACGCAGATATCCCTCCTACCCCATCCCTAGCCCGTAGTCTAGCTCACGTTGATAGAGTTATCTCTGCACCGGACCCTGAGTCAGACTTAATTCGTGCTGTCAATCCTCCTGTCCCACGTCTTCTAGCCACTGTTGTCACTGACCCTTCGTTTGAGTCCACTGCTGCGTCTGCCCTAGTTGCTGAGCTTGTTGACTTTGTTGCCGCCTGTCGTCTCGACTACGCAGCTAGTCTTGTTGCTGAGTCTAAGTCTGACTATCCTCCGTCCGTCGGGGGTGAGTGTGCCCTTGGCATGGACGTCCTTGAGGACAGGCACGAGAACTTTGAGTGTCTTGCAGCTGCTGTACCTCATCTCGTGGCCATGCTGCTTGCACCCGAGGGAGACCCGGATGCTCCAGACATCCCGACCCCGTGCTCTTACGCAGAGGCAATTACGGGTCCCTACTCCTCTCAGTGGGAGACAGCCATGGACGTAGTGATGGCACCCTGGAAGTCCACAGGCACCTACGTCGACACAGTTCCCCCTCCTAGGGCGAACATAGTCGATGGCATGTGGATTTTCAGGGTGAAGCGGCCGCCGGATTCTCCGCCTGTCTTCAAGGCTCGTTACGTTGCATGAGGCTTCAATAAAGGCTCGTTACGTTACGTTACCTAGTTATTTTTCTTTCGCCATGGCTGCCCTTGTTGCCATGGCGACCGTGTCAAATTATGTTTGTATGTCTCTAGGCTGTATTGGGGCATACTCTAGTGAGTACAACCCTTTATGGATTCATAATTCCACTCATCTTCCTGCTCAATGCAATCATTCCTTCTTGACATGGTTTCAAAGTAGGTCCCGATTAGGGGGACGTGACCGTGCGGTGACCGTGCGGGAGCGGTACCGGGGAACTGCGGTGGGGGTGAAGACGGTAGAAGCAGACGGACTGGTCAAAGGTGACGTCACAGGAGGACAGCACACGACGAGAGCCCGGGTGGTAAAACTGCCAAGGCAGTGCGTCGGTGGGAAAGCCAAGGAACACGCACCGAAGAGTGCGTGGAGAGAGCTTGCCCGCAGGCAGATCGCGTACAAGAGAGAGAGAACCCAGACCCAAAACGCCGAAGCATCACCAATCTCGTCCGTCCCAGTAGCCCCCCTCCCTCTTCCTGGTCCTGCTCCCTCAGGTGTGTCTCAGGTAGACCCACCCCCCTTGGTTGAGCCTTTGGAGGTCTCTTCTGACACCTCTGGCCCAGCTGAGGGGGGTGACCCGACTGCTGCTGACACCATGGCCCCTCGCTGCTCCGCGCGCTTGGCGGTCCCTCCTGGTTTTCCACCTCGACCGTCTTCACCGCCTCTGTGGCCCGTCACTGTGGACTACGGGTGCTGGAGGTGGTGACACTGAGGGTGCGGAATCTGGGGGTGCTACGAGTCCTACGGGTGCTGGAGGTGCTCCATCGGATCGAACTACGCTCGATACCATGTTAAAGACTCAACAAGAGAATGAATGAGTAGAATAAGCAAGTACAAAGGTAGATATAGCAAATCTAACCCTAGCACTAACAATGGTGTACACCACCTAGACTAAACAATACAAACTATAACAATTATCGTTTGACACATGGCTTCACAGGAGTTACGCTGGCTGACCTACTTGCTTACCGACTTGGGTGAGAAGCCTCGTTCTGCACCAGTTCTGTTCGCTGACAACAAGGCCATGATTTTCTTGTGTCAGGAGCAGATACTCAAGAGCACAACGAAGCACATTGCCTTTTGTTACTTTTGTTGCGAGGGTTGCAGCAGCGTGGTCACGTTCGCGATATCTACGTGGCCTCTCCAGCCAACACTGTTGATATCTTTACTCAGGCTCTTGGGCCTTGTGATCATCGGCGTTTCTGCATTGCTCTTGGATTTGTGCCTAGTATGCCTCGCTTGCTTGCCTCTTGATCTCATCTTTTACTTGCTGTACTTTAATATATATCTGTACATGCATGTGCACACTCGCTAGGTTGTGATCATTGTACTGTGTTTGCTGTTATGAATCTGCATGTGAACTGGCCTTATGACCGATTGCTTGTGCTCGGACTGTGTGGTGATCTTGAGATCCACCGAGAGCGTTGTTTTGTTTCTTCTCTTGACTGGTCTTGTCGCCATTTGTTGTTCTTGCTCTCTCTTGCTATCCCTCACTTCGTCTATGGGGGTGTGTCAAACTATATATGTTCATTTGTGCTAGGCTATAATGAGGCATGCTATAGGGAGTACAGCTTGTTAGGGTTAGCTATTTGTACCCCACCCTTGCTAGTCCAATCCATTCCACTGTTCTCATTCTGATAGGCTGTTGATGCTTCATTATGAATGGTGCTCCATGTCGCGATATATATCTTATATATGTTTATAATTGCCTGTAGCTTTAGCTTTAGTGTAGTTATGTTACCTTGCTATTGGTGGTGCACCTCTTGTTTGTGTTTCTCGACTATATCTTGTATGCTTTGCTTTTAGTGAAGCTCACTTCTTTAGTCAATTCTCTCGACCCTTGCTCTCGCCACCCTCGTCACCCCCTTGGCCTAGGCTTCTAAGCCTAGGCCCCTTTAAACCCGGTTACCAACTAGGTTAGGATTGTAACATGGTATCAGAGCTAGGTCCGATTTTGGACCGTTTTTTTTAGGGCCCACCGTTTAGCCTTGCTTTGGCACGCCCCATCACGCGCCCCGCTGCCCCCGCCCATCGCTCACCCGTCGCCCCACAAGCCCGACGTCTCGCTGCTGCTGCGCTAACGACGACGAGCTGCGTGAAGGCGCTCGTCGCGCCACCCCCGTTACGCCCCCCCGTCCCATTCGTAGCAAACCCACCAGCGAGCCCGCCACCGAACCCGCCGACGACGCACCCACCAGCGAGCTCGCAAACGGACCCGCGAACCCGCCTTCAAGCGAGCCCACTGACCCACCGTCGGACCCGCCAGCAACAGCCGCCATCGCCAGCGACAGCATCGACGACAACAACCGCCAGCACCAGCATTATCCGCCAACGCCAGCGCCAGCATAGCCGCCAGCGCCAGAATTGCCGACCAGCGCCAACCGTCAAACCTGTCGCCCGTCCCTCTATCCCTCTCCCCTCCCCCGTCGCCTTCCCTTCCGCAACTACAGCTGTGGTGGGGGAGGTGGCGTGGAAGGGATGGCCGCCGTGAACCACTGCAGCCTCACCCTCTGCCTTGCCTCTATCCTCCCGCGGCTGCTGCTGTGGGGGGGAGGTGGCGGGGACGGGGGGGTGGGGGGCTGGCTGCCGTGTGAAGGACTGTGCAGGGACCATCGTGTGTGGGGAGGGGTCAGAGGATACTGCGCCTCCTCCGGTCCCTGCGTCTGGTCAGGTAGCTGCGTCCAGTCAGGTGTTTGCTGCTGCGTCCAGGTCTAGTCCTGCGTCTGCCCCCTGCTCGTGTCGTCCTCTGGCGCACGAGACTCTCCTCTGGCACCACCGCCTTGGTCACCCCTCCCTGCCTCGTCTTCGAGGTATGGCCTCCCGTGCTCTTGTCTCTGGACTCCCCAGGTCCCTCCCTCCCCTTCCTCCAAGGCCTGCCCCCACCTGTGTTCCTTGTGTCGAGGGCCGGCAGCGCGCCGCTCCTCACTCCTCCTCGTTTCCTCCGACTGAGGCCCCTCTGCAGACTCTTCACATGGACGTGTGGGGCCCAGCCCGCGTTCGTGGACAGGGTCACGAGCGTTACTTCCTGCTGGTCGTTGACGACTACTCGCGTTACACCACAGTCTTCCCCTTGCGCAGCAAGGGTGAGGTCACTGAGGTGTTGATCGACTGGATCCGCGGTGCTTGTCGCCAGCTTAGTGAGAGTTTCGGCTCCGA